GCGATCATTTCATTTCGATCATGATACAATAACATAAGGTAGTCTCGTCGGCAAAATCTGGTACCTCTACTATTATAACAATGAGTGCGAGTGAAATGGGAACTGTTTAGTAAGTGCGAGCAGAGCGACAATAGAATGTGTGGATTAACCCTTAGATGGTTCAGGGGTTTTTTTCGTGCCTTTCATAGTAAAAGGAGTTTATTTTTTTTTTATAATTTAATTTTTAATAATTTGGAATTTGAAATTAGGCGTTGTTTTTGTCTTTGAATGCTAAGTCTTTTGTAAAGATTCTTAATTCTAAAATATATTCTAATCTTAAAATAAAAATTTTTTATGTCCAAACTTATACTAACATTTTCGGCTGCGATTATTAAAGTTTCTTTTACATTCTTTGTTATTTTAAAAGTATCTCAGCGACTCCTCCCACAGCGCTCTTTTTTCCAAAAGTTTAGGTGCCTTTAAAAATTTTACGCTATCGACGTGTTTGCGGCACACATTGCAAATAGTTATGTTGCTCAAGGGTTAATTCTGTAAAAAATTCGTCCTCAGACAACCTTTTCCTTTAAAAAACGAATGTTATTGTATCATGAACTCGAGTAATGAGCGCGCGAGCGTCAAAATGAGAATAAGAATGAGAACGAAAAAAACCCGAAGGCACACGAAGTGTCCGGGGCCTGCCGCTACCAGCTATGGGACCTCCCGATTCAAAAATTTTGTGACCACTTTCGTTGTATGAAATGATTAGTCTGTATGTTGTATGGTTAGTGGTTATGGTTACAAATCTGGCGAGATCTATCAAGCCCATTCAATATACAGAGTCTGTGAAAAAAACTACTTTCATTCTTTGGCATATTACTCTAATTTATTTCACTCACAGTTATGAATTTTCAATGTTTTTAGGGGTACTAATACATATATATTTTTTTATATATACGCAAATCTTTAACTTTTCCTACAATTATTTAAATATTTTGTCTTTAATAAGGACAGTACGTCAATGCAAAAAGGATTATTATTCCGGGCAGTAAAGATTGCAATGTAACATCCCTATTACAAGATTCTTATTTTACTTCATAAAACAATTTTTTCGCATACTTCGGACGGCTCTATTCAGTTTTCTACCACGTCATCAGCTGTATTCCAGAGGTTTCTCCAACAATGATTTAAATTGATCAGACATACCTTTGAACGAATAAGGCTTAACGGATGTTGGTGTTAAATTCAAAATTTCCTTTATTTCTTTTAATGCCTTTCTTTGTTCGTTGCCTACACTTTGGGCGCTTCTTTTGTAATGGTTAAAAGACAACTCCCTTTGCACGAAAACCATTACAGGAGCACACTTATAGAACAACGAGGCTTGAAGTTACATACATGCATGTTTCACCAAATAGCCAATCCACTCAATCAGCTCAATTTGTATAGGATGTTCGCTTTTCACCCATGACACCGTCACATGACGTTTTTACTGATGTATAAGTTGTTCGTATTGTCACAAGACTTCAAATAAAATAATTGTAAATTAAAAATTTCGATATGTATTTGGCTGTATTATTAATAATTTGTATTATTAAATTGAAGGCGGATTAACGAATAACGATTTTTAAGGGGTAGGGAAATGATTTTGATAAAAAAAATTTTGTTTTAAGAGGTGGGCTCGTTTTTGTCAGAATGAACTATTTTTTAGATGTGGGCAAACGCTTTTTTATTTTTCTCTAAGCTCTTTTAGTTTCCGAGATTTGGACGTTCATAAGGAAAGATAGGGCTTAATCGCCTCGGATAGTGCTGATTATAAATATACCTCATTAGGTCGGTAACGCTTTCTTTTATGTAAGGATAGAGAAATAAAGGTTAAACTAAGCCACCAAGTTGTCATAATTTAATTCTGTCAAATTTTTGTAATTCATTTTTGGTCTATAAATTGTGTAATTTATAAATCATTTTTACGTTATGAATCACTCTGGGCTCCTTCTTTAAAAGCGTTCCTAGATCCGATAACTTGCTATCGGAATCCTGTGATTAACTTGATTTTGCTAAGTATGTACAAATCTCGCGCGAATAGCATGGTCATGTGCTTTTAGGTGTAATGTTATTCATTCGGGATTTTTGGCCAATTATCGATATTTTCGACAGCGTTACCTGGGGAAATTTATCCTTTAGATAATGTATTTTTATACCCGTTACTCGTAGAGTAAGCGTTTCCGACCCTATAAAGTATATATATTCTTGTTCAGGATCACTAGCCGAGTCGATCTAGCCATGTCCGTCTGTTTGTCCGTATGAACGCTGAGATCTCGGAAACTATAAAAGCTAGAGGATTGGAATTTTGTATGTAGATTTTAGGAGTTCCTACGCAGCGCAAGTTTGTTTCAAAATGGTGCCACGCCCCCTCTGACGCCCACAAGCCACAAGCTGTGGCCACAGTTTTGATGCTATTATGAAAATTTTAATTGATATGTATTTGTTTCGTCAATACCTATCGATTGGCCTAATAAAAGTTTGCCACGCCCACTCTAACGCCCAAAAACCCATTAAACGCTTAAGCCTGGCTAGCGCCTACATTTCCGCCTTTCATGGCCCGTGGTACCAATGTCTTGGGGTAGATGGCGCAATACAATAGCAAATTTATATTAAGTTGTTTAGCTGAGTAACGGGTATCTAATAGTCAAGGCACTCGACTATAGCGTTATCTCTTGTTTTTAATTGGGAAGCAAAGTAAAGAGTATCTTATAGCCGATGATCTCGAATTTATTTTTTATAAACCAATTGACTTTTTGAAATGTTGCTTTTGCCTAAAGAACACCACAATACTGTGAGGAGTCTTAAACTCCCCACAAATCCCGATGCAGTAGATCGGCCTAGCAACAGCGGAGGAGGCGAGAAAGCCGGAGAAATGTAGGTCAAACGGGAAACATTCGGACCTTGGACCATCATATGGCAAGGGCAACGAGGTCATACGGTAAATTGGCGGACTTCGGACCCTCCCAAAAGAGGACACACCGTGAATTAACGGTACCTCAGTGGACCTTGGACCCGAGGGAAATAACGGCACCTACAGCGCCTATAAAAAGGACGGCGAAAGCGCAGCTCGGGACAGTACGAGTGCGAGAATCAGAGCGAGTGCGTGAACGCGGAATAAGTTCAAATCGAAACCGAAGTGCCCAAGGATCAAGATCGCAAAGTCGAGACGCCGAACGACGACAAGTCTACAAGGCTGAGGCTACAACGCTGAGATCCAACGGTGCTAGGTCGTGGTGAAATCAAACTTAGGGAGTCCTTGCGCGGTGTCAGGCGAAAAAGGTGGCTAGGCGATAAGGGTGAACTTTGTTCTACCTGCTAGGCGATACATCTTCTCGACAAAGTCCAAGCTGAACTCCGGAAGCCAGGCGATAAAGGTGGCTAGGCGATAATGCGTAACTTCGGTTCACCTGCTAGGCGATACACCTTGCCGGCCCCGGTAGGGAAACTCGTATCACATCCAGGGTTTTTGGTGGAGCCGTCCCGATCTCAGTCACCCGGAGCAGCAAGCCGAAGCAGCGCAGTAGCAGGCCAGGAGCGACGCAGTGGTAAGCCAGGAGCGACGCAGCAGCACGCCAGGAGCAACGCAGCAGCGGGCCAGAAGCAACGTAGCAGATTAATAGCAATAAGGCTATATTTTAGTGAAACAATAAACCAGCACCAACCTAATCATTTCTGGCGTTATCCTTTGGTCACGGGCGGTCACTCAATATAAATTTGGTGGAACGAACTCACAACCTCTCTGAGCTAGCCGCACGTTTACGTAGCGAGCAGAAATTAATGAAACAGGTCGTTACAATACCTTCTTATCAATAAATATTTTGTTTAAATCGGAAGATAATTTCTGATACATTCTACATTACTTATAGTTGTTTGGGGATTAAGGCTCTTTAAGGCCATTGTCCTTTCAACTTTAAACTGGGGAATCACTTGCTGGGGAGCGGCCTGTGATTCATCTCTAAAAAGGTCCATTACAAAGGCTCTCAGGAGGATGCTGGGGGGGAAGTGGCACCATTATGTGGAAAATCGAGTTATGTTCCAGGACCCGGGAGAGCCGACAGTTTTTTTTTTTTTTTATAGGTAATTGAACACGCCTCACAAGGATGGACCTTGTTTTCGTGTATTGACGAATTATTTCTAAGGATCCCAAAATAAGCGGGTAACGGGTGCTTCATTCTTGAGCAAATCAGGTGTGGTCATAGCCGGTCAAAAGTTAATCAAGATGTGTTTTTGCAGAAGACGACCGTGTCTGTCACGGCCGAGAATCCATAAGTCTGCCGGGTGTCGTCTGCGGAGACGCCGTCGACCCAGTGGTGTAGCCTTTACATTGATGGGAATAGGCTCAAGCACGAAGGTAAGGTGATGTACCTCGGAGTTACCTTAGACCGTCGCCTTTGTTGGAAGGGACAAATTGATCGAGTTTGTAGATCAGCAAGAACAAAACTTGACAAAATGGACTGGCTCCTTCGTCCAGGCAGCGGCCTATCCCTTGAAGCTAAGGTGCGGCTTTTTAAGGCCATTGTCCTTCCAACTTTAAACTGGGGAAACACTTGCTGGGGCACGGCCTGTGATTCGTCACTAAAAAGGGTGCAAACATGCATTACAAAGGCTCTCAGGAGGATGCTAGGGGTGAAGTGGCACCATTATGTAGAAAACCGAGTTATAATCCAGGACACAGGAGTGCCGACGGTAACGGAGACGATTTGTAAATCCTCAAGTCGATACCAGGAACGTCTGCTCACACATGCAAACTGTCTGGCAAGACATCTTGCATCACCACTGGGTCGAAGGCGTCTGCGTAGACGGCACTCGGCGGACATATGGATTCCCGGTTATGTTTGGTTATGCAACAACAAACAATTTTGGTCAACTTTAAAAGTGCCAATCATTAAGAATACGTTAAACGGGCCATAATTAGAGATAATGTTATATAAGCCGTGTTTTTTTAGTTCTTAACCATTTTTATCTTTTCTATCTATACACAGTAAGTTTACTCAACAAGAAAGATGACAGAGAATATGACCTTGTTCCGCCTGATGGCGGCTGGGGCTGGCTGGTGCTACTGGGTTCGTGCTTGACAAACATTCTTATCCCCGGTACCATCAAAAGTTTCGGAGTATTATTTTCGGAATTTACTGAGGCTTTTAACTCTTCACCCACAAAGGCTGCATGGATACCGGCGCTGTGCTATTTTCTTTACAGTTCGTTAGGTAAGTGTCAACAGCACTAGTCAATTGCAAAATAGTGATGTGATGTCATTTGTAGGTCCCGTTTCAAGCATATTGTCTGTAAAGTACTCGTATCGTACAGTCACCCTTCTTGGTGGGGCCTCTGCATCACTAGGAATGATACTTTCCTTTTGGGCATCATCTATTGAGTACTTGTATATCAGGTAAATATAACGCCAGCAATACAGAATTGAAAGTAATCCATGATTTTGTTTTCCAGCTATGGCGTTCTGGTGGGAATTGGGGCTGGTCTCTCTTTTCCACCCACAGTCTATATTGTGACGTCGTACTTTGCAAAGCTACGCGGCTTGGCTAATGGCTTGTGCATCTCAGGCAGCGCGTTGGGCAGCATTATTCTTCCGCCCCTTCTCCGCTGGCTACTAGAGACCTACGGCTACCACGGTTCCTGTCTAATCATGGGTGGCATCACTCTAAACGTATTTGTAGCTGCGCTTTTCTATGAGCCTGTTGAGCAGCACATGATACGAGTACGGCGTGCACGTCAGTCCTTAGAGGACATTCCCGAAGAGGAAGATATTGGCATCGTAATGAAGTTCGAGAATGTCGACGAGTCCGCCTCAAACAATGAGCAGGCAGAGAAACAGTTGTTACCTTTCAATACCCCTCCATCACCTCTGTATCTTCCGGAGGATGAGAAGCTACAGTTTGTACGGAGCGCTTCCGCAGCGGTTGTCCAAAGCTACTCAAAGCCTGGAGACGAGTTTCAGCCTCGATCTCGTAAGATTAGTACACCAGTGAGGCTACCCCAACGGAATCAGACATTTACACCTGGCCAGTTAAATTCACAGTCTTCCTTGTACGCTGTACCAGAGGACCGATCAAGCTCGAACAAGCTTACTTTAAGGAACTCGTCAAAGTCGCGGTTATCCAAGCGCTCCCCCTCAACCAGCAGTTTTTTATACGTCAGCACACCATACCATGGCAGCACACTGTCATTCCAGCCGAAGGAATTCTCCTCCCACTTGTCTCTTCGTTCAATGACTAGTAGTGGAACGGGCGTTGCAGGCGGTTCGACCGGACCAGACGGATCACAGACTGATGTTGCAACCAGGAGCAAAGCGCTACCTTCACAACGATTGAAGTTTTTTGATCTCAGCCTGTTAAAAGACCCGATGTACTTGGTCATATTAATCTCGAATTCGACGAATGCAATCAGTTACACAAACTTTATCATTTTGCTGCCCAGTTTTGGAGAAGCCAGGGGCTTCAACAAATCATTATCTGCGTATCTGCTTTCAGTTGTTTCAGCCACTGACCTAATTGGACGTATTGGTGGGTCAGCACTTTCCGACATGGGATATATACCTAAGACCTGGTACTTTGTTGGCGGCTTGTCAATTTCAGGTCTTTCCCTTGCGTTTTTACCTTTTGCATGGTCATACAGTTCGGTTTGCTTCTGGTGCGCACTTTTTGGGCTCGCTTCAGGAATTTACGTGGGAATTACTGCCGTAATCATGGCAGACATGCTTGGCACAGAACGACTTACGTCATCTTATGGTATAAGCCTTTTCGTTAATGGCTTGCTTCAGTTGGTTGGACCCCCACTATGTAACTATTGGTTTGAGGCGGTCAATGATTATAATCCTCTCTTCCACGCTCTTGGTTTGACGCTGTTGGCCGGAGCCAGTCTTTGGAGCTTCATGCCTTGGATTAATCGACGCAAAGCAAAAACGGAAGAGCAACTAGAGGCACAAATTGATGAAGAGGCTGTCCATATCCACTAATCGGGCGAAAACTCTTGTATCAAACGACGTACAATAACAACTAGATTTTAGGCTTTAAATTGCGTACAAACAAAGATATAGTTAAGTGTACATGCTGTAAACGGCCAAAATTATGCAGGCGCATCAAAGTTTTGGAAACTGTTAATTTGTTTCTTTCAGCTGCTTTTTTTTGTATTACTGGTTAGTCGTCACTATTACATTATATAATACTACAATTATTATTTACTTAATACCAATACTATGATGGCCTAGACCGCATAAAAATTAAAAGGAATCCAATGAGAGTTGATAAAAAGTAACGATTTTATAACTATTTTTTCTATAAATATGCCAAAACAAAATAAACGAAAAATAAAACAAAAAAATCTGCAAAAATAAAAATACACCGAAAAAGAAAGAATTAATTCGTTGTACGCATAACTCTTAAGAAACTTGGTTTTGTGAACATTTTATTAGTCAATCAAATTATTTTTCATGAAAGATACATAATTCTGTTAACGAAAGTATTTCGACAAACGCTTGTAATGCCATAAATGTTTTTTGGTTATAGGCATTTGAATCTTTTCGATCTTCAATATCCTATACCAAAAGGAACCAATACTGTAAGGCGTGGGCCACAGCAAATTTAGCATGTTATATAGATAAAAATCATTTATTTGTGCAACTTTCAATTTTAATTGCAGTTTTATAGATTTATATTTAAAGAGCATACACCTTTGGGTTGCTCTAATAGATACATTATTATACCCGTTACTCGTAGAGTAAAAGGGTATATTGTATTCGTGCAAAAGTATGTAACAGCTAGAAGGAAGCGTTTCCGACCCTATAAAGTATATATATTCTTGATCAGGGTCACTAGCCGAGTCGATATAGCCATGTCCGTCTGTCCGTCTGTCTGTCCGTATGAACGCTGAGATCTCGGAAACTATAAAAGCTAGAAGATTGGCATTTTGCATGTAGATTTTAGGAGTTCCTACGCAGCGCAAGTTTGTTTCAAAATGGTGCCACGCCCCCTCTGACGCCCACAATCGCTAATATACGATTTAAAAATTTAAATATTTCGGAAAAGTAAAAATGCAGTTTTATTGTGTTTATCAATACCTATCGAAATGTAGAAGAAATTTTTCAAATCGGACCATTCGTTAAAAAGTTATGCGTGATCAAAGTTTCTATCTCCATCTCCCTCGCACTCCCTTTACCTGAATAACGGGTATCTGATAGTCGGGGCACCCGACTATAGCGTTCTCTCTTGTTTTTAAAACGAATTCGTAAAAGTGGGTAGATGTGACTCTATTTTTGTATTCGTAGGCACAGTGCTATCGCATTTTACAGAATTTTGAAATTATCAAATTTTTTTATTTCTGTAAATTTTAGTGAAAAGTGATGTAAATATAAGAAGGGAAAAAACTTCGGCAAGCCGAATTTTATTTACACTGTTAAGCCTAGTATCCAGATCGACGAAAACCGTACGCCAGTCATGATAGAGAGCGAGAAGCAAACAGCTGGCGTTCACTTTTCGTCGGGCCTTTTTTTCACGTCGGTCCCCTGATCGACTAAAAAAATACCAGAAAATTCCATAGCGTTGCCAGTCTGCGGAAATGAACTTTGGGTGATTGACAGTACGACCGTAGCACGCTTAAATCTGATGAACTCTCAAATTTTTGGTCACACTGGAAAGATTAAAGTTTTTACGCTAGCGTAATCGTTTGTCGATCTGGATACTAGGCTTTACAATTAAATAAATTCTATATATTTCGATTTCGATGCTTAAAAACAATGAATGAATATCGACTTTCGATGTTTCGATAAATTTTTTATTGTTCCTTTGGCAGCTATATTATATATAGTCGTCCGATATTTATAGAACTAAAACCGTAATTCTGAAATTGGTGATTTATTATTATTTAATATTTATTTAAATACTTTTTATCTATCTATCTATCTATCTGATATATGTTTTATATAGCTGTCATAGATGCAATCGTATTAAGTAGCCCTTATGCGGAAGCAGTTTTTTTCAGTGTCAAGCCGAAAAAACACTGACTTTAGTGGCCGAATTTTATATTTTTATACCCTTGCAGAGGAAATTATTTCTTAATTTCTTCTAAAATTATGGTTGGAAAATTTATGTATTCTGGCAATAGATATTGAATCAATAAATATATAACACTATGCAAATTCGGCTTGCCTAAGCTTACGTTTTTCTTGTTAAATATAGTACTGTTTAGAATTTTTTGAAGCAATATGCATTTAGCGCATTGAGAGTATGCCATATATGGCTTTTTTTGCAAATAGTTTACTCCGTGTGAAAATTGGTAAAAAGGTTATTTTGTCATTGTAGAAATACATTGTATGAACGGAAGGAACCATTGTTTTTGCAGAGTTGCCTTTGCTTTTTCTAGGTGGGAAAGTATTCAATATGCATTACAGAATTCAAGGGAATATTCTGGTACTTTATTGTTTTTTTGGTAGAAAAACTTCCCTGCTTAAGCCTAGTATCCAGATCGACAAACGATTACGCTAGCGTAAAAATTTTAATCTTTCCAGTGTGACCAAAAGTTTGAGAGTTCATCAGATTTAAGCGTGCTACGGTCGTACTGTCAATCAGCTGGGTTTGTTGACAAGCAGTTAAAATTCAAATATCGTATTTGCGGGAAAGAGCCTTTAAAAGATATTATCAAATACCTTGGGAAGACAAGTCTGCCGCTGTACAAAGAAATTAAAAAACAATACAATTTACATTTAACAGTTGTTTTTTTTAATTTACTGATAATTATTTGCTAATTTAAAGTTCATAGCTGCACTTTTAATGTGTTTTTTTCGTACATTCTGGACCTAAAAAACATTTTGTTCTGACAACAGGCACCCCAGATAGTATTCATGTTATTTTGTCCTCACATATAAACACCTGCAATCGACTTTTGTGAGGTTTTTGAGTTTTTCCCTCCATTTCTTATAATGTTCAGTGAGAAGCGCACGCCAAAAGATTTAATTTTTTAATCTTTTCGCTAGGGTTCACCCAAAGTTCATTTCCGCAGACTGGCAACGCTATGGAATTTTCTGGTATTTTTTTCGTCGATCAGTGGACCGACGTGAAAGAAAGGCCCGACGAAAAATGAACGCCAGCAGTTTGCCTCTGCCTCTCTCTCATGACTGGCGTACGGTTTTCGTCGATCTGGATACTAGGCTTTATAGTCGGGGATGAAGTTGGAGTCATTTCGCACATCATTGTCCTTTTAAAAGCTATTAAAAGCTTAAAGGCAAAGTATGGAATTTGTTGATCTGACTTTCGAATCTGTCAAATAACCACGCACATAAAAATCATGTGAAAAAAATGTTGTATGCCATTTTTGAACACGATTTAATTATATAACAACTTTTTTTCGCGCGGAGTCCCACGGCCCTCTTACCCGCCCAACCGACCGAGGGGGGCAGTCGTGTATCGTACGGCATGATTCGCGAGAAGATAGACTCGAGATATGTATGTAAATATACATAGGTAAAAGTCCAGGGAAAAGTCAGTATTAATTGTTTTAGGAGCGGCAGAGAATCGTTTATTTCGGATTGATCCGATAAAAGTCATCATCTGGCACTTAAAGACGTCTAAATTTAGTGAATTATTTAGATCGGATTGTAAGTCTAAATGGTATTAAATGTCCTCATACTGCAGGGATAATTTAACATTATCTGTGTACATAAGTACGCGAGAATAATGTATAATTGAAAAAAGATCGTTAATAAATAATGTAAAAAGTATCGGACTCAGATGGCTCCCTTGTGGGACACCAAGGGTAACTCGGAGAATTTTAGAAATTGCATTTTTATACCCTTGCAGAGGGTATTATAATTTCAGTCAAAAGTTTGCAATAAAGTATATATATTCTTGATCAGCATCACCACGAGAGTCGATCTAGCCATGTCCGTCTGTCCGTCCGTCTGTCCGTCCGTCCGTTTCAACGCAAACTAGTCCCTCAGTTTTAAAGCTATCTACTTGAAACTTTCCCAAAAGTTGTCTTTCTATTGCAGGTAGTATACAAGTCGGAACGGGCGTCAATTATATTAATTAATCCGACCTATCGAATTTCATAAGGATCGGACGACTATATCCTATAGCCGCCATATAACTGATTGATCGGAAGTGGCATAACTTTGGTGTTTGTAAAGTTAAGAAGTTGGGATTTTCTATGAGCTTTATTATATTAATTAATCCGACCTATCGAATTTCATAAGAATCGGCCGACTATATCTTATAGCTGCCATATAACTAAACGATTGGAAATGCCATAACTTTGGTGTTTTTAAAATTAGGAAATTGGGACTTTTTATGAGTATTAAGAATGCATCAAATGAATAATTTTGAAGAATATAATTTACAGAATATTCTGCAAGGGTATATCAACTTCGCTCCGTCCGAAGTTAGCTTTCCTTTCTTGTTAAGTAACTTGAGATCCATATAGGGAGATCAGCTGGAAAACCTAACCTCAAGTTTTTGAACATGAAGTAAGTGATTACAGATTCAAATGCTTTACTAAAGTCAGTGTAAATGACGTCTGCGATTGTTGATCTACGTTTAAGGAGGTCTTCTTGTCTAGAGGCTTGAATTCCGAGCTATTTTTAACAATTAATAAAAAAAAAGCAATGGATATTTTTACAAGTCGTTTTTTATCATTTGTTTATTAAACTTAAAGGAGCACATAAAATAAATTTAAAAAAAAACATTTGAGGCAAAAAGAGGCCGTGTCCTCGTCGCCATGATTTCTATGCTTGTCGTTATTTGAAAACAAGAGAGAACGCTATAGTCGCGTGCCCCGACTATCAAATACCCGTTACTCAGGTAAAGGGAGTGCGAGGGAGATGGAGATAGAAACTTTGATCACGTATAACTTTTTAACGAATGGTCCGATTTTAAAAATTTCTTCTACAATTCGATAGGTATTGATAAACACAATAAAACTGCATTTTTACTTTTCCGAAATATTTAAATTTTTAAAATCGTATATAAGCGATTGTGGGCGTTAAAGGGAGCGTGGCACCAGTTTGAAACAAACTTGCGCTGCGTAGGAACTCCTAGAATCTGCATGCAAAATGCCAATCTTCTAGCTTTTATAGTTTCCGAGATCTCAGCGTTCATACGGACAGACAGACAGACGGACAGACGGACATAGCTATATAGACTCGGCAAGTCAAGAATATATATACTTTATAGGGTCGGAAACGCTTCCTTCTAGCTGTTACATACTTTTGCACGAATACAATATACCCTTTTACTCTACGAGTAACGGGTATAAAAATATAACAATGATAGATTCTTAATGAGTACGAATGTCGCTATGGCATGAAGCACCAAAAAAAATTTTTTTTTTTCATGAAATGGCGGCTACTCAAAGAAAAAAGTA